ATAGATAGATAGATAGATAGATAGATAGATAGATAGATAGATAGATAGATAGATAGATAGATAGATAGATAGATAGATAGATAGAGTAAAAGATAGATAGATAGAGTAAATAGGTAGGTAGGTAGGTAGGTAGGTAGGTAGGTAGGTAGGTAGGTAGGTAGGTAGGTAGGTAGGTAGAAGAGAGACGGAGGGAGGAAAGGCTGTGTAAATTACTAGTTCATTGGAAAAAGAAAACATTTTCATCAGGTACATATTGTTGGTACTTCATGGCAGGAACCGGAGTAAGGTGAGGGGAAATTTGCTTCCCAAGAGTTACCCCAAATCAATTGGTAATCATCCTCCTCAACGAAACAGGTTGCAATTTATAAGGTCTCTACTTCTTGATGGATTATAAAACTAACTAGAAAGTCTACAGTCAGCAGGTGGTTTCTAAGAAGGCATCCCGAAAGTCAGTTTGGACAATGGGTCTTCTTGGTTGGGTATTCCAATTTTCGAGACAAGATTTCTTCTCTGGTGGGCAGGAGGGAAGAGAGGAAAGCTGGAAAGGAACATGGCGAAACAGGAGTGCAAGCCATAACCAGCTCTAACCATCTTGTGAATTTTGTGGGCAAAATTTTGTGGACAAAGTTAGACTCTGCCAAATGGGTTGAGATTGTGTCACATCCTAGTGCAGTGATGACGAGCCTTTTAGACACCGAGTGCCCAAACTGTGCGTGTGCATGCCCAAACTGAAAGATGCGTGTGTGCACCCAAATGCACGCATGCACGGCGGGTGAGAGGCGGGGCATCCCATCACCGGCAGCGCAGCAAGAGATAAGATCTTTTTCTTTCGTGAGCTTCTGTTTTATCGTTTGCAGGGAAACAGAAGGTCACGAAAGAAACGCCACGGAGATCTGACCTGGGGCTCTGCGTGCCACCTCTGCGCGCCATCGTGGACTTAGTGGTTGGCAGGCACACCACCAGGCAGGGCCCCGTGTCCTCCCTCAGAAGCCAACAGTCACGCTATGCCTTTTCACTGACAAGTTATCTGACTCACGCAACCATTCAGCACAAATAGAAGAGGATTTAATTTAGGACTTTCAGCCTCAAAGAGGCAGCTTTCCAAATGCAATTAATAAATAAAGGCTGGAGAATGACAGCTCATTTGGGCCAGTTTCCATTGAAAAGGTTGGCTTGGAGAAGACAGTACAAAAGGGGAAGAAAAATGCAATCCTGGAGACAGGACACTATGGTGGCTTGCCTAAACCATGGTCTATGGGAGAAATTCTCTCGGGGTTGTTATAAATCCCCCGAGAGAAATTCACCCATAGACCATGATCAGTTGAGACGTTCAGATTTGGGATGGAAGGCAGGCCGTCCTTCGTCCAAGTTTTGACAGCATCCGAAGGGCTGACACATTCTTAAGGACAGGAAAAAGGGCCAAGGAAATGCTTATTGCTTGTGAGCAAGTAAGTAGCACACAATGGTGTAACAGCCAAAGGAGACTTGTGGGATTTGGGACAAGAAAATCCTCCCCCGGATTCTTGGGAAATCAACAGGTTATAAAATGGAATAAACAAGAACCTTCCTAACAACCATGCAATTTCTCAACAGGAATTTTGCTTCCGGTGGAGCTGTGTGGGTACATCCTTATATGGGTTTCTGGTGAGCTGCATTGCGCCACGCGCCGTGGGCCAGTGGCCTTTTTGAGTGTCATGAAAGGAACCCATCCTTTGAAAAGGGAACTCGGCCAGGAGAGAAGAGCAAGGGAAAAAATAGTTTTAGTTCAATTTAGATTTTAATTCCTTTTTCTCCCCCTTCTGTTCAATGGTGTCTGATTCTTGGAAACGGACTGGACTAGGCCCTTGCAATTCACTTGTCAAAGCTTTTCCTAAGTCAGTGTTTCTCAACCTTGGCAACTTGAAGATGTCTGGACTTCAACTCCCAGAATTCCCCAGCCAGCNGAATCCCTAGCGCCACGTAACGGAGTGAGCTCCCGTGACTTGTCCCAGCTTCTGCCAACCTAGCAGTTCGAAAGCAGGTAAAAAATGCAAGTAGACAAATAGGAGCCACCTTTGGTGGGGAGGGAAGAGCGTTCCGTGCGCCTTCGACGTTGAGTCATGCCGGTCACATGACCACAGAGACGTCTTCGGACAGCGCTGGCTCTTTGGCTTTGAAACGGAGAGGAGCACCGCCCCCTAGAGTCAGGAACAGCTAGCACAGATGTGCAAAAAGTCTGACTTTTTTTTTTGCGCTGTCTTCTCGTTCAGGTGGCTGTGAAAATAATCGACAAGACGCAGTTGAATTCCTCCAGCTTACAGAAGGTAAGGCGGTTTTTTTCCCGGCTTTACGAATTTGCAGTGCCGTATTTCATTCGGCGTGGGGGGGGGCGCTGTGCAAAATGGCTGGCTTTTTGATCTCGCTTTTGTTTCTAATGGCGGGGAGGTGGGGTGGAGAAGCCTTTAGCAGCGATTGGCTGAGAGTGTCCCTGATGTCAGCGAAGGACAGCTGCAGTTGGTGGGAAAGCTGAGAAGGCGGGCCTGAATGATACCCTGGATTGGATTGATTGGAAGAAAAATGCAAGGGAAACTTTCTTGTCTGTCTACAAAGTGATCCCAAATTTACCATTTTTTGTACATAGTTGGAGGCTTGCTCTCTCTCTCTCCGCTGATGAGAGGTTTCAGGACTGGGCAAAACTTGAGACCTTCCTCCAGTTCTCATGAGCCTCAGCTAGTGGAGGATGATGGGATTTGTTTGTCCAATCCAGGCAACCTTCCCTTCCCTTCCTTCTTTGTAGGCCCAGTTGCCTTCCTTTGGGGGCCTTCACAGATTAAGTCGCAGATTTAAAAGGCATAAACCAGTCAGCACAACAATCTAGCTCAGTGTTTCTCAAACTTAGCAACTTAGGTGTCTGGACTTCAGCTCCCAGAATTCCCCAGCCAGCATGCTTTAAGATAGGTGGACTTCGACTCCCAGAATCCCCCAGCCAGCATGCTTTAAGATAGGTGGAGTTCCACTCCCAGAATCCCCCAGCCAGCATGCTTTAAGATGGGTGGATTTCCACTCCCAGAATCCCCCAGCCAGCATGCTTTAAGATAGGTGGAGTTCCACTCCCAGAATCCCCCAGCCAGCATGCTTTAAGATGGGTGGACTTCCACTCCCAGAATCCCCCAGCCAGCATGCTTTAAGATAGGTGGACTTCCACTCCCAGAATCCTCCAGCCACCAGGCTTTAAGATAGGTGGACTTCCACTCCCAGAATCCCCCAGCCAGCCTGCTTTAAGATAGATGGACTTCCGCTCCCAGAATCCCCCAGCCAGCATGCTTTAAGATAGGTGGACTTCCACTCCCAGAATCCCCCAGCCAGCCTGCTTTAAGATAGATGGACTTCCGCTCCCAGAATCCCCCAGCCAGCATGCTTTAAGATAGGTGGACTTCCACTCCCAGAATCCCCCAGCCAGCCTGCTTTAAGATAGGTGGACTTCCACTCCCAGAATCCCCCAGCCAGCC